GTATGGATTGTATAGACACATATTATTATACTCTGTTGTAGTGGCATAGTACACTTAATAATATTATATGCATTTTGTATACAACAGTGACCACTCGTCCTTACGAAATGCGTTGACTTCATTTTGGAAATATATCGTATGGCAAATAAATTCGTGTATCTAAAGTACAAATCATCCATATTTTTAATCACCTATAACAATATGCTTGTTGGTGAAACCGTAGTTAACTTTTGTTATGGGTTAACCTTTGTATTTTTATAGTTTCATAGCATGAATGATGAACGTTCATCGTGATAAATATTGAATTAGTGTTATTTATTTTCTGTTATAAGCACATTCGACTTTGAATTTTAGATGCACGGGACGCATCTTGCTGCACTTCATTCTTATGATCTGAAGTTTAAATACGCATTAAAAACAAAAAGTATTGAATATTTAAACATCAACATATTTATTTCAAAGTATTACTTCTGCTCATGAAAATAAAAATATAAGTTGCGATTTAAAAATCAAAATTTGATAAAGGTTTTAGTGGTGAAAAAATAAGGGCAATATAAATAGTCAGAATTTATATCCAAAATAAACTATCTATTCCAAAAATAAAAGTATAATAATTTTCGAAATGAGTGTCCACTGTTAAAATATTCACCATGTATTATAGTGTACCTAAACATAGATGCATACGAATAGCACCATAACATTTTTGTTGTACTGGATAATTTTTTAAATCCTTCAAAAAGCCAAAGGTTTTTATTTATTTCCAACATTGAAATATTAATATGTTCTACATAACTACGGAATAAAATATTTACCATGACCAGCGGATTAACTACAAAATTTAATGTTTTTATTTAGATTTTACATTGTTCACATTGTGTATAGCAGAATAATAATTAATACTAAAATGCATAAATACAAAAATAGCTGTTAATAGTTGTTATAACTTAAGTTATTATCTATAGTACGTATCTGCTATATATTCATATTCTATATGAATAGAAAACATATTTTTGTAAACACTTCGTGAACGGTTTAGTTTCAAAACCAGTAGGCGTAATTGTTTTTTTTTTTTTTTGTTTAACCAACATGACTGCGATTTGGAGTATATAGTCCTACGTTTGAAGTTTATAAATTATTATTAACATAGTAGAAACATATTATAATAAGTATCTACTACAAAGACCAATTCATCATCAATCGAAATGTTTCATCAAAAGAACTGTCTAAAAAAATTCCTAATTAAACTTAATTTTGACACAAAATATATTTATTTTTGTAAATTAAACATTTTTTGAGTTTTAAGATTCATTCAATAATTCACAACGCTTGTTGTAGAATGAAAACTACTGAAGTATTATGCTGCACATTGAAAACTAATTTTTCGAACTTGTATAAAATTAAATCGGATAAATTTAAAAGAAAACGTAAACATATTACTTCTGGCCTAAACATAATGTAATACTAAAAAACGTCTTTGGTGTAATAATTCAAAATAACATAACGTAAAATAACGTATAAATAAAAAGGGATTTGACGTTTCGAAGCTATTCGTATAAATCACGAGCATTATATTATGAAATTCGTATATACAATAACACATACATTATACGCACAGAAATAGGACTTAATTATATTTCGGGGACAGTCCGCCGATCCGACATGATATTATTATTTTATAAAAAAAAGAATAATAATATTATCGTCACCGGTCGACAATGGCTATTTTATTTCCACTGACCACAAATTCTCCCATACACGCGAGTACATAATTGTATAATGTTGTAGCAAACATGGTCTGAAAAATGAAAATTAGTACTTGTGTAAAACGGAATGTGTAATAATGATAACAACAATACTGATAATAATATTAAGCTATTGTGTCAATTAAATTATACGTATTGACATGTTGTTGCTAATTGCTACGCTATAGTATACAAGTCAGCAATCATTGAAAAACAATTTAAAAAAATCTTAAAACATTATTCAATAGGTATCGATTGATTATTGATCGAGGATCGTAACGAAACACACAGGTACGCACAACCGTCAGACAAATCACCCGAGCCTGCGCTGCAGACTGCAAAATATCATGTCCATGCTGTAGTTTTATGGCTCGATGTTAAACACGCATTATACATTTATACGAAAAGGAACAGCTGAATTTCGAGTTGTCTCTTCGGATGATCTTTTTTTTCTGTAGGGAGAAGGGTCTAAGACCCTCCAAGCCCCTATGAGGTCCGAGCCATAGTAATATAATCATGTTGTACGTCAGAAGGCCAGTATATTAATACAGAGTGAATCAAAAGACATAATCACTCACAACTATCCTTCGGCAGTTATTCAAATTCATGTTTTTTGAATTTTTAATAATACATAAGTGCTTATAAGATCTACTGTTTTAAATACATATATACTTTAATTTTGCGTGACATTTAAAGAGTGTCTGTGGTGATTCAAACTTTTTTTTCAAATGAGAACCATCTTTTATCCCGTAAATAGTTAGATACCTAGTTGATGGGTTTTTTTTAATTTTGATGTAGGTATATAAATTGATGTTCGAACGTATAGTTTCAGAATTAATAAACTTCATGTCTGATAATAGTTTTTATGATATGGAACTATGATGATTTAGTGATTATAGGTAATAATTTATAATTATGTTATTAGCGTTTTATAATTTACAATAATTGTCAAAACATAAGAAGTACTAGAATAATTAATATTTTATAAATTGCATTATATTTCAAATATTTTTACCTTTCCTGTATTTTAGTAGCCACTCGTTTTAACTTTAATTTTTATATACCTACAAACATTGAAAAAAAATCATCTGTTTAACAATTTACAGTAAAAAAGGTAGGCTATAATTTACATGAAAATGGAAGTTTGTATCGCCACTGCAGGAAATGGTGCACAAATTCTGAGTATCTAAAAATACGGTCTTATGTACCTTTGAAAATTCCATGCATCAACTGAATTGTTTTGAATAATTGTAATAATAAAGCATAATTTGGGTGTGTGCGCATGTTTGGTGATTCACCCTGTATATAGATACCTATAAAATAAAATATATTGTCTGTACAGTGCTGATGCAGTTTTGTATAAAACGCGCATAAACAGGGACAGCTGAATAATTTCTTGTTGGCTTTTGTGATTTTTTTTTGTGGCATACGGTTTTTCGAAATCACAAACCATTGCAATAAAATAAATCGGTACGCATATAAATCATTTTGTAATCATTTTTAAATCCATCTGACTTGCTCGTGACATAAACAAATTAGGTACATTGGTAGGTTTATTGTAAAAGCAATTATTATTATTATTATTTGTATGATATATGGTGCAGGAAATTGAAATCATTTTTATCTCATTGTATGTGTACCAATATAGAAAAAGTGTTATTTGTCAAATTAAAATTTAAGTTCGTTCATATTATTGGAACGAATGGTGTGTTATGAATTTATGATACATTATAAAAACAATGTTTATTGATAGGTAATATTTATAATATATTATAGCCACAACTGAAAAAATATTTTAATTGCCAAATAGTAACAACGTTAGATTTCCGAAATTTAATTTTTGAGAAATTATAACTAAATATTATATAAATATTGTTGATGCATTACTTAAAATGGTCCTTAGTTTGAAAATACTATCTAACATAATAGAGCATATTATTATAGACCGTACAATATCTAGTCTGCATATATATTATACATATGGTATATGGTATATATTATATTAAAACGTAGGTATTATTGAAGGTTTTTTAAAAAATGTATAATTGTTTTCGAAACTCCCAACTACGAGTACCCACTAATAGTATATACTAAACCTATATTCTGCAGGACTCGCGGTGTCGCCGAATGGGGTGGGAGTAGGTACGCTCCACTAAAAAATACGTCATGCTTATTTGTATAGTTTTACTGTATGTTTAAAGAGTATTCCTGTATGCCGTCTATGCACACTTAAATTGCCCTTTAGGTATACATCGTTTTATATTTCCTGTAAAAATAACAAATAATGGGACAGTCGTGTTTATTTTACGACTACAGCTGCACCGACGATATTATTCACGTGAAATATCCTTGGCAGGTCTTCGACGCATGATCATAATAATTAATAATGACGTGTACCCGGCCACAGTAATTATGACCGTACGGTCGTATAAGGAATCTCTGGCCAAAAAAATTGATCTTAAAACGTTCAAATAAACTACAAGTTACGACACTTCATGATATTTTAGACCTTATTTCATTTTTGTGTAAATGCCATCTTATACGTCGTACAATATTTTACCAGTTTGTTTCAGGTAATTTGCATGAGTTCTGTGCGGGAAATGTGTACGCCGTTTGAAGGGGGTTCAAACGTTTAAAAAAAAAAGCGTTTAAACGAGGTATTATAGAAAATGATGAAATGCCTAGAAATTTCTAGAAAACCAGACGTCCAAGACCCGGAATCGTTCGTTCACGACTATATTGTGTATTATTTTCGAACAGAACGATTCACCTACCTACAATTATTACTGTTTCTATGATATTTTATCAAACGCACCGTTTTAACGTCGACGTCGCGGCGTTCCTCCCCCACCCACGGACGTCGAAACTCACACACGCACACACGCGCACAACCCCTTCCGACCGGTGGCGGCGGCGGACATCGCGGCCCCCCGCAACCCGCCCGCCCACAAATGTGGGTGGAGAGAGATTCTGTGCAGCGCGCAGTTGCCCCGGTCCGCGTACAGGTGTCGCCGCGGTCGATTCGGGTTTTTCGTTCTCCGCTCCCGGACTCGTCGCATGTGAGATTCATGTGGTTCGCCCGCGACTATTAACCACACGACACCGAGTTCGACGCGCTCTCCTCGCCCGGATGTGCTAATAATAATAACACAATAATCATAATCATATAATAATAGTAATAATAATAGTAATACAAATACGTGATTTAATATTTGAATATAATAATATTGCAATCGATTCACAAGAACCGTTTTTTATTTGTTGTATGTATATTATAATAATATAATAATATTATTATGGTGTAATTATCGCGATATTATTAACATAATATACTATATTATTTTTACCGTCGTTCGTTGTGTACGCGTATAGTCGCATTGCGAAAAAACTGTAGTACTTTATTTTTTTTTTTACTGATTTTTACTTTTTCATTTTGTTTGGGTTTTTTATTGAAATTTTTTTCTCGTTTTTGTTTCGACTGCCGCGCCGATTATTTTTTGCTCCGGACCCCGAGTTCGACGACATTGCCGCACGGTTAAATATTTACCTACGTTTATTCCGTTTGACTTTTATGTTTTTTGTTTCGTTTCGTTAACTTATCTTTCATTCGTTCGCGTCATTTTATTATATTTTCATATACACGAGTGAAGTGCGTTTCTTGTGAAAGATAATCAAAAAATTTTAATTTTTTTTTCAATTTCATCCATTTTCGAATATCATTGTTATTTTATATGTTTGACTATTTTTACCCGTCGTTTAATGTCCTAGGATCGCCTAGGACCTCATATTAAATTTTAGTGCGAAACATGGAAGCTACTTATTGCATTGGAAACGACGTTGACGTATGCCGAATGTTCGATCAATATTTATACAAGGTAAATACAATATTTAATTAGTCCCCAACGAAAAATAGAATAAAATATTTGCTAGCATTAAATGTCGTACCTAGGAGTTTAAATAATTCAAAAATTTATAATTTTTATGATGGTTCGAATTTTAAATATAATAGTTGTTGAAACGTTAAGAATTGAAAAAAAACTAACAAATGTTTAACAATATATTTATTAAAGAAAAAATAATTGTAATTATTCAACGTCTCTGTAGATTGGGTACAAATATAAGAATGTAAATTATGACTACCTAGCTAAAACCGGTTATGTTAGTATTTTTTATTCTTTATTTTTAATGATTAATTCTATATCTATATAGTTAAATTAAACAGAAAGGTTCGTTAAAATAATAATCGATTTCATATTATTACAACTCGAATCAATTGGGAAGATCGATATATATATATATTAAAAAATAATAAAACGAAAAAAAATTACTGCGGTTGAGAAATCGTTGGTAACAACGATTAATGAATTAACCACCGGTGCCAGAGTCGGGTCAACCAACCATGACCTTGGTTGGCCTTGAACCTAGCAGCCAGCATCTTCAGACACAGTACCTATACGGCTATACGATCACTTAGGAATTCTACATTTCCAATATAGATACAATCCGATAATATAGTATATAATACAGTACGAGTAAAAACAAAACGAAAATCCATCGATCGGTTCCATCCAAATATTTATTGAAAAATATACCATCACGTGATTTCTACTGGATCAGTCGTCCACAAAGTTTAACAATAACAAAAAAAAAAAAAAAACAAAAAACAAAAAAAAATTACCGTTTGACCAAATCGCTACAAGTGTACCCTTACAATGCAATGCATGCAGACATGTCATAATGTAATATACGTTTGATTCGCGTGCCGTAATGGTCGTGCAGTTAAAATTAAATTAACAACCGTTTCACGAATTAACAGGCCAAACTGAATATTGTTTAGGTAACGTAATATTAAATCCCGCTACGTATAGTATTATTGTAGTCAATGACCGATTTTCGACCGCTTCTCGCACCGATCACAATATTATAGCTTTCGTCGATTTGACTCTGTGCGATTTCATCGAGATCCGAGGGCACACGTGCCCCGTGCCGCGAAATATTACGGCCCGGCCTGAGATTCACAGGTGGGTGCTCCAGTGCTCGGCCCCGAAAAATTCAACAGAAACGAAAATGCGTCCGTCGGTCGTCGTGGCGTAGAAATTCTCTTCCCGTTTTTCCCATGACGGGACGACGACAGTCGACATATATGTATAGGTAGGTAAACTGAAAACCGGCTCCATTAACCACACTCGCTGACGAACACATGTTGTAAACAATCGTTCGATTTCTTCTCTTTGCTTTGTCAGCCACACACGCAGACAACTGGCGCAACGAAAAGTAAAAAAAAAATATGTACAAGCATTCTAGAGACGAAGATTATAACATTTATTTTTTTTTATTTTTCAATCTCAATCCCTCTCACTCTTTCTCGTTATTTTCTATTGTATGCTAATACTCGTTTTATATATTATTATATATTATATATATTTATATGTGTATACAATTTATACTACGGCAACACGATAAGAGACTTAAAATAAAGATTCAGAATAATTTATTAGATCGCTATTGTGCTTCCACCAGTACTTTATTACCCGGGGACTTATTGAAAAAAAGAGTCAAGTGTAAGCACACGTCATGACCTTTTTCCTGCCCCCCCCCCCTTCTCGTCCTGTTTTTTAATGTACATTTTTTATTGCCGGCCGGGGTTTTTCTGATTTAATGGTAATAAAAAGTGTTCTATCCATGAATACTAATTGGTTCATTACGTTCCGATTTAAATTCATTTTATTTTCTTGTTATGTTTAGATGCGTATCTAATAAATCGAACAGCAATATTTTTTCCTGTCCGTCCACTTATTAAAAAAAAAGCTTTGATAAGAACAATACGTTTATTAAACGTATTTAATTACATTCTAAATATAACGTTCCATATCTGTATCGTGATATCGATAATAAATTTTAGTTTGATGTGGTGCTGTGTATATTAAAACGAACGTCATTATTCCAAATATAAAATGTAGTTTCAAGTGGTTGTTCTCTTTCGGTTACTATATAGAAAAATAAATATTTGAATTATGATGAAATTATTTTCTGACCTAAATTTAAAATGATTTTAAATATTTTTTTGAGAGAAGGGTAAACGTCTGAAAATCTGAAATCTAAACATAATATATAGGTATATATAGGTATTTATTAACGTATGGGTAGGCAACATAAATGAAACGTGATTGGATATATATTATTATATTGAATGAGTCATTACGTCAAAATAATTCTATCTTTGATTAAATATAGGAAGTGAAACAAAAAAAATGTTCAATAGACAACAGTTGAGTTTCTCATATTTTCACGCGGGTTTCATGAGTCCGAAATTCCCCTTTGAGACGAACACACAACGTCCGTATTTGGCTTAACGTGGTTCTACGTATAATATGTTTCTATCACAACCAATCACCCTGAGTTAATTCATAAAATGTACACATGACCACAAGTCTAATAGGGTACCTGCTTTCTTAATTATTATTGACAAAAATATATAAAATAATATTTGTTATATTAATCAATCAACAATAATAGAATATAATACATATTATACAAACAAACACACTCACATACACACACACACCCACTCACATTATCTAGAACAATTATTACAGTACCGATGTACATAAGAATCCGAGTGGTTATCGGGCTTATAGATTTTTAAAACACTTCACTGGATGACCTCAATGTTTCTATAATACCATTACACGTAGCATTCTTAACTTTTATTGATTTTTAATATATATTTTTAAATTCAATAAATCACTTGATTACATATTTTGTTAGCTAGTAATCGCCAGCAATTAGAGAACGGGGCTCTATTGATAACAATTAAGTATGTTAATGATGCGTCATAAAAAATAGGTTAGATTTATTAATGTGAGTTTCGAATCATTGTCACGTTTTAAAATCAGGATGTCTTGAAAGAGAACAAAAACTGTAATCCTATCACTGCAGCTGCCCAGCAGTCCATTACTGTATACCTAGGGTATTACACATAAATTAAATACCTGTCCAATTCATATTTTCATTAAATAAAACGCCCATAGAAAATAACATCGTTTTTATTCAGAAAATAGTTAATTATATAATTTGAGTTATACTTAACCTTGACAGTTATAAGAAAATTACAATATGTTTAAAATATTAATTAGAAGAACCACGTAACAAATGTATACAACATTAGGTAAATCATTTAACATTACAACCTACACAAATTTGAAATACATTTATTATTAACTGTTATAAGACGCATTTTAGTTGTGCGCTTAAAAATTCTCAAGCTGATTTAGGTAATTTACTTACGCGTTCTTTTAGTTCTTCGAGGAATGTCGCTGCAGGATATTCGGTTTTTTTTAATGACATACATTTTTGTTCAAGCTTGATCGGTCTATTGACCGATGTTGTTTCGATATTATTGAATATTTGATACTTTGTCAAAGCCTTAGACATCTTTGAATGGACCACTTGTCCCTCGACTTGCTCTAGTGCCGTGTCTTGAAATTTATTTTGGTGATTTAAAGACTTAGTTTCGTTTAGTTCCATACTATTGTCTCGGTTTATTATTTGGCTGATGAACACTTCCGGGTCCTGTTTGACCACGTTTCCATTTTTTTGGACGTAGATGACGACTGGACGTTCCAAAGAGGGCAATTCATACTCATGGATTATCACTAATCTTACTTCTTGATATTCATCTGAAATAAAATGATAAAATGTTTACCCTCAGCAGTGCTAGATATAATTTAACTAAATAAAAGCATAATTGAGAATGATAGTATCTATATAAAATAATAGAAATTACTGTATACTGTTGAGAACATTAAATTTTACATGACACTGAAAATATTATGTATAGAAAAACTGGTAGAAAACTATTATTTCTGGGGGATGGACGTACGGATATTGTCAAAATCAGATGGTATATTGAATAAAATATTTTCTGCTAAGAAAACAGGTCTGCGAATTGTGCGCATCCGACCATGTAATTACTAAATGTTCGACACACGAATGCGAGAAATTGTGTGTGGTGTTCTAGTGATGATAAGAATACATTTTTAAAGAGGATTCCCTCTAAACATAAATATACGTGTATTATACATAAATTGTAATTACCGTAATTGCTAGTTTTTTCCATTTTTTTTTTCAAGTACCGCCTGATTGAACGGTAGAAAAATTGATATAATAATGAAAAAAAGTGTTTTATTATCAACACAAAAATTTTAATTATTTTTATCGATAAAATGACTGTTTGGTTGCGTAAATATAATATCCAGATTGTGTCAGACGAGAAGGATGCAATTTTACCAAGGACGTTAATCTGCAGATGATACCGGTCATCGGTGGAATATACCAAAGACGTCCATGTCGCGAATAAAAAATACGTATTATTATGATATTGTAAAACAAAGTGTTTTGTAATCGTTTTGAAACTCGAAAATAAAGAAGTATGTATTCATAAATATTACTTCCTCGTGCTTAGCCCCCTCGCAAAAATAAAATATAAAATTGCATTTTTCTTCCAATATCGAAATATAATACGTTATTATTTTCATTGAGCGGCATATGGACGGAGGGGGAGATGGAATGATGAGATATTTTCTTTTAACTGAACGCGTCGTATAATAATAAAACGTCACATATAGAAATCAAATAAGAAGAGAACAATATGTTATACTACTTGTGCTGCGGGAAATAAGAAAAAATAAGTTACACACAATTTCTAAATAAATGCTCATTTTTCCATACAAAATATAATATTATTTAATATCATACGAATTCGATTTCGAGTGTCTCTTCAATGGGTAATGGAAAAATGATGAACTCTTGCGTCGAAGATGAATTCTAAAATGTACATGAAAAATGCATTATGCATTTTGATATTTTAAATAAT